TTGTCTGCTGAGATAGGACCATTCTTCTAGATCTAAAAGTATGATCCAATCAGCGCGAAGGAAACTTCCAACAGTTGCAAAACAAACGTTCTGTTGAACACAGCCATTGTCACCAAGCTCAGTTAACTTAACTGGCCAGTTAGTCCATCGGAATTGACCAATCGCATTTGTCATTTTGTTTGCTTCAAATGGTCAATGGCCCTTATAGTGTTTTCGGCCCGATCGGGTTTGCACCAACCTGGGTTGGATTAATGACGTTTTGTGCTCTCCTATTGGTAGAGCGTGTAAGGCCGGAATCAGACTACGCATTGGCTAACACCGTGCGCTTAGTCCGCGACCTATATGATAGGTGTCTTTGTTTAATATACAGGATAAACAAGGATGTCTATTGTATAGGCCGCGGACTAAATGCACGGTGTAAACGTAGCCATTGAAGATTGAAATTTGACCAATAAGGACAAAGAAATTTTAGCTCCTTTCGTTTCGATTGTTTAAATTTCAATCTTTCGATCTTCAATCTCAATCTTCAATACGTAGTCTGATTCCGACCTAACGTCAACCAATAGAAAAGATTAAAACGCTATTAATTTACTCGCACGTCCGCACGAATCGCAATCGTCGCGGTATCGCGATGTCGCGTCACATTCGATCTCTTCGTTGTCGACTTCGATGACACTCTTGCATTTTCCTCCGCGAGAGTGTAGACAGGTGCAGGTCTGAAAATCGTTGATCATCGTTGGTCATCGGTTTCTATCGCCGCGTGAGAATATATAAAGAAGGTACACGTGCCTGGTCTCATCAGTGTTGAGTGCATGCGGCCATCGTGGATGGAGATGTAAGATTGGTTTGTCGGAGTCACTGTCAAATGCTGCCTTGTTTGCTGTCGAAAATTGTAGCAACGTACGATCGTAAAGTTTGAGCGATTAATCACGTACGTGCTTAAAGACTTGTGTTACGTTGGTGATAGAGAGAGAGAGAGAGAAAGAGAGAGAGGAGGAAAACGCGCAGCGCCTGCAATCTCCTCGTAGCTCTTCATTTTGGCTGAGTCAAGGTACATTGCAAAATTTATCATGACAATTGCATGATCTTCTCATGTCTATCACTTCCACGTCAGCGTTTAGCCTCACGTACAATGTACGTTTGAGCTTTTATAATTGGACTTTGTGATATTTCATCGAGAAAATGCTTCGTTTGACAGGGGAAAGAACGTAGTGATATGGAGTGGTGTGATGACTAATTATATCAAAGACTGTAATTGTTTTAAAATATGAAGAAAATTGTAAGAGTGTTTTAAATTATCCTTGCTTGAGATTGATTATGGCTTTTTCTGACTATGGCCTTTTAGGAGACATAATAGACATAAACGTTGTTTCGTTGGATTCTTTTCAGCACATTATAGATAATACATAATTATAGATAATACAGGGTACTTTTCAGCAAGAGATACGGATGACACAGTATAACTCAGTGATTCATTATGTCTTTATTGTTTCCAATGTTAAGCAAAAATGAAATAATCACTGTGTTTTACATTGTCTCTTGATGAAAAGCATCATTTCTTGGCAATGAATAACAAGGATAAAACGACTAGTATGTTGATTTCCTAAATGAAAAGCAGCCTAAGATTGTTTGAGATTGATTTTTGTAGAACAGACTTTTCAATTCCATTTTCTATCTTTTAGAATAAATTCACCAATCAGATTGATTAATGGATTATGAATTTTCATTGTCAAAGAGGATGTAATTGTAATTCTGATTTTGTCAAATTATATTTGCAGACATCTGGTGAAGAAAAGTACAACGTGATCGAAATGGAATTTCCAAATTTGGGAGAACATTGCTCTGAGAGCACATGCAACCGCTTGGATTTTTTACCTTTGAAGTGCGACGCTTGCCAGGGAATCTTTTGCACAGATCATATAACTTATACAAGTCACAGCTGTCCCAGCGCGTACAAGAAGGATATACAGGTGCCTGTGTGTCCGTTGTGCGATGTTCCTATACCAATAAAGCGCGGCGATCTGCCCGACGTAGCTGTAGGATTACATATAGATAATGACTGTAGAGAAAGCCGTAGGAAGATATTCTCCAACAAGTGTTCTTCAAAGGGGTGCAAAGTCAAAGAGATGGTGCCGGTAAAATGTAACGAATGCAGTGCCAATTTCTGCCTCAAGCACAGACATCCCACCGATCATGCTTGTATCGGAGCGGAGGAGGCGTTGAGACTACGTAGGTTGGAGGCACTAAACAAGAAAGGTCAAACGACAATATCACCAAATAGCAGCAACAGCAATTCGCATTCGTTCCGAAGCCTTCAAGGAACAATGACCGAAGATGAAGCATTAGCTAGAGCTCTCCAAGCTTCCTTAGACGATGAAGAGAGAAGCAGACGTATATTACAACCAGTGCCTTCTGGAAACCGAGATAGATGTAGACTTTCGTAACTATCTACACATTATTTTATACCGTTATAGAAAAAAAAGCTTCCTCATTTCCTAAAAATCTATGGATATAAAGATATGTATTAAAGAGATATAAAAGATATGATCCTATTAAAGTTAGCGCCAAACTATATATAATTCGTGATTCGAAACTCGCAGTTTGTAAATAGTGTGAATAGATAAATTCATTGAATTCGCATTTGTTGTTTACTACTCCATTTATCGAACAATTTTTTTAACAAAATTGAGGAGTGCAAATTATTACGAATCTGTTGATGTTGTTGATTCATACATAGATACGCTGCACAAACAATAAATCACGAATTGCAAATCATGAATCGTTTATAATTCGGCGCTAGCTCAAAGGATGCACATACATGTACAACGGAAGTTACTTAAGTATATTTATTATTCTATTAATTTTTTATCTGTTGTGTATTGTTATAGTTATAACTGCTGTTATATCTATAACTAGCTGTTGCGTTTATATGCATAGAAATTAAAACGTATTTATATAAAATTGCTCACGTAATTAAGCACACTAATCACAGCATCTTATGGGATTCCTAAGCAAAATTATATATCAAAGTATTTATCTTAAAAAGAAGTTATATAAATCATTAGATAAAATGTTATGTTAAGTTGCAAGTACAAATTGTTCATAACTCAATATTTTCTTTATATCATAAATGTGTGAATTGTCTCATATACTTCATTTAGATTATAAACTCTGGCTTACAATCAGGAAATATATTCTGCCGAAAATAAAACAATTCTGATAATATATTACATGATAAAGCTTCAGTATAGAGTGCCTTAGTAGACGAAGCATAATTTTATTATGCATTAGAATACGCACTTACACAAAATCTCTTTACTTTAATTAAAAAAAAAAAAAACAATTTTAATTCACGCTTATTAATATTTATAATCGACTTGCTGTAGAAACTGCTTTCAAACAGTGGCTACACATACAGATTTTCATACGATATATATAAAAATACATACTTGGATTTAATATTATTTTCAACAAGATATCAAATTGTTTGTTATTAATTAATAAAAATATCACGTATACAAGAAAATAATATTACAATTTATGTATTTCTTATTAATGGGATTTTAAAATAATATTACAATTTTTACGTATTTCTTAGTAATAGGATTTTAACAAATAATGTATAAAATAAGTATTGAGTTTTAGTGCAATATCAAAAACTGTGATGGCAGGAAGAAATCGCGTATATTGTACGATATTTAGGCGTGTTCATATTATTAACTGAAGCAAAGTCTCAAAATAGAAATCATGTTTGAACATATCACGTCACAAGCTTCTTAAAATAAAAATTCCTCAGAATATTACCAAAATGAATAAATAAATAAATATATATAGACTTTATACTAAAGATGCTGCATTGACAAAACTGATATTCATAAATTCTGTGATAACTATCATATTTTTATAAATATATATAATTTTAGAATACACTTAGTTCCCCTTAATTTACTTCATTCCTTTGGAAATGTAGAATAAGCATTTTCTTTAAAAAAATGGAGAATTTCAATATATATATATATATATATTGAATATATACATGAAACATGGATTTTTTAAAATAATTACAGTAAGCAGAGATATATTGATAAATATATCTATGATATGTACGAATGCATTGACAATTAATGAATATAGTCAATAGCAGATGTATGCTTTATGCTTGCCACACTACATATGTATATTTACCAATGAATAATATGCTTTTAATATTGAAGACTTGAAAATAATACAATTCTTGATAATATGTAAATAGAAATACGCTTTTTACTACTTTCGAAGGTTAATATTGTTACAATATACTCGCCTATGACGTGTCAGAACTACTGGAAAGTATAAAAGGAACGTTTATTATCTTTTTGTAGTTATCACATTTTAGATAGAAAATCTTTTTAACATAAATAAATTTCGTAATTTTATGACTTATATGTACCTTCTTAAAAAATACTTTAATTTAAATATACAAAAATATACTGTCTTTCAGTATTTCTGAAACGTTCGAAATATGTAAGACGAAGTGATTTATTATACATTCCTAATATATAGGTACATATATCCATGTATCTTCTTATACATATTACAACAATTTATATTTAATGGATTCTCTGATACTATAAATATATTTGAAATAGATAATCAAAGCAAGGAGATGATAAACAGATAATTTCACAAATATGTATAGACGTGTGTACACGTTTATAAAAGAGCTCCTTTATTAATATATTATGTATAATTTATAATTTATTTTCTATTCATATATGTTTTATAAAATTACGTTCTAACGATTATGCGACCAATAACATATAACTTTTCCAGTAACTTTTTTTAAATTCTACGAGAATGTATCAGATTCAAAAATATTCATATATATATATATATATATATAGAATAGATTTTTCCCAATAAAGTGTTCAGTAGTAGGAGACAGTTATTTTTCATTTTTCCTCTAAATGTGTTTTCAGAATTTTAATTACTATTTAGGCACGTTACAGCTACAGATATATGTTGATATAAATCAATTTAAACAATGACCAAATAATCACAAAGAAATTAATTTATTTAGTGAACAATCCAAAACAGTTTGTATATTCGACGTATTTATTATATATTAAATAACTTGATATTTTATCATTTTAAAGAATATATTTTTCCACAAATATAATCAAATTATAATAAGATTGAAAGACCGCTAATGTTAAACATAATGCTTTAAATTAAGAAGCGCCATAACGTTCTGATAATCAAATTATATATTGCAGATTATTTGGATATTTGTAATAACTCGAAACAAAATAATTTTTATAAAAATTTAACATTAAAAATTAAAACAAATCGGAATTAAATTATACATATTACTTGATATTTATATATATATATTCTAATTTATATATATATATATTCTAATGCGATTAAAGTGTACTATTCTAATGTTTCTAATATTTAGATATAAATTAATATGATTTTTATATACTGACTGTTTTTCGTTAAGCACTAACAAATCCATGCATAATGTATATTGTACAAGAGAGAATCAAATGTTATATACATTTGCATTTCTTTGCAAAGGCGAGATATATTTACGGATTTGGCATAAAGTAAAAATAAATTAACATTTACATTAGAAAGTCAAAGATATTCATTTTATAGTACAAATGTTTTTTGAGATTGCTTTGAGACGTGTACGCATTAAATATTCTGCTAATTTAGTGTAGTTTATATTCCTTGTACAAAAAAAATCTAAACAAGCTATTTATGAATCTATGCCATTTTCATTTTTCTGGAATATAAAATACAACCATTTATCTACCAACTTTTCCTAATTTAATGTCCGTTTTCGGATTAGCCGTTATATTTTGCGCAGCGACTATCGTCTCATTAATTTTTGTCTGGAGATTCCTAAGGTCTTGAATGTACAATAAGGAAAGACCTTTGGCGGCGTTGTCTAACATTGTGTCGCCCATATTAAAGCTAGGTCCTATTATTGTCTTTGTCAGAGATTTACTTTTGGCGACACTATTAAATTGTTTAATCGCATCCTCGTTCAACTTGTTGCACACGAGTTTGCTACACGCTTGTAGTGTTATAAGATGATCAGAATGTTTCGGTACATTCAGTAACTTGGCAATCGAATTAACTCCGTTCTTGAAAGCGTCACTGTCAACTGAAAAAAATTAAGAAATGCGAGATTTAGATATTTTTACATATGACATATCCCTATATCAAGTATTGCACAATGCAGCGCAAGATATACTTACAATCTAAATTATCTAGAGGATTCGTGGACTTGATACTAGGCACTTTCACCTCTTTTTTATCTTTTGCTTTACTTCCTACGACTTGCTGATATTTTTGACCTAATAGAATAAATTATATATTTCATTACCATTTATTATTATTTATTGATTAGGCAATCAATGATTATTCAAATTCTTATGAAACTTTACACAAATGATTCTAACAAGACAACTTTGTGATGGATCGAATTCTCATTTTAATGAAACTATATACATATATGAGTAACATAAATATATAAATTTAGAAAATATATATCATTTGCGTTCAATAAACGGTTTTAAGAAGTAAAATTATAGTTCATATATAAAGCAGTTTCCAGCTTTTTTTCAATATATCTCAAAAACTATTCAAAATGTCAAAAAATATTTTATAATAAAATTACCTCTATTTATCTACATCAATAATACTTTGAAAAAATATTTTGAAAAAAAATATATCATTATTTTTAAAAAATATTAACAAATATAGACCATTTTATTATAAAACTTTTGTATAAAACATTTTTTGGAGGAGTAATTTCTTTCCTTAAAACTGTTTATTTGTTGCAACTAATATTTTCTGAATTTATCTATTGTGTAATCTGCAAGTATACCAAGTTTGATTAAAATCAGGATTTAATACTTCACGAAGTTTTCTTGTATAAGTAAACATTTTACACGCATTCCACAATTAAGCCATTATTTAAGCTTCAAATCTTAAGTTGTAAGAAATTAACTACTCACAGTTGAATGTGAGAAGAACAATCGATTGCGATTGATCAACTTCTTATGGCTTAAGACTTAAGCTTAGGTAATGGCTTATTGTAGAAAGCCATTAAGTTCTATGTTTCAAACAAATCTTACAATCATCTTCAAACTCTAGCCGAATAGCATATCCTATGAACCACTCTAATTGATCAATCTCATTTTTGGTTATTGGACAGTCAACATCATTGCAATACTTTTCAAAAGTTTTTGGCCATTCCAAGGATGTAATGTCCCTCAACTTCTGACGGTCGTCTATAGTATAATGACGTATCTTTTGATCTTCCAGCCATACAATCATCTTTCTAAAGTGCTGAGTATCTGAAACATTACAATCATTACAATATTGTATCAATATTATAGTACTTCAATACTTAAGAAGTTTCCTATGTTACAAATAAATATCTGATGCAACTATAACAATTTTTACAATCGATACATTAATGTTATACATATTACGAGTACAAATGTGTCACCAGATGATGACTGCAGTCGGTATTCATATTCAGTCAGTTTTTATCGGTTCTTGTAGGTCCACACTTTCTTAGAGAAAATAAAGAGTGAAGCTGAACATTTTAGAACTTTATTTCTAAATATTCTCAAATTAATTTGTGACTAAGAAATTTAGAAAAAATAGGCACAACAGAGAAGCTATTAGTGTCAGGACTGTGTGGCTCAGTAGCAGGATGGAAGTCTACCATTTTGGAAGAAACCAGGTCTCGGTTCGAATCTCGGAGCGCTTTGATATTTTTCTCATGTCGCTTATTTCTTATAGTGACTGTCGGAAGACTGCGCATTATATTTTTGAAATTTTCTTGTGCAGTATATCTGAGATAATTTCTAAATAATACATAGATCATTATAACATCAAAACAATGTCAAAATAGTTACAAATTTGATTATTAAGAGTCACTTTTCAATCAAGACTCATTTTGATATTATTGTGATGTTATT